ATTTCACCTTTATTAAAAATACGCTAATTTTTAGATCATATTACCCTCATATTCTTCCTTCATCCTCTACTCTCTTTCATATTCATCTTCTCCACCGCTAGATCTGACGGAGCTGATGTCGTTGAATGGTAGCTCTAAGCAGTATGTGGTGGGAATAGGGCAGCGTTGTTTTCCCTCGTTGGTTGACCCTGCTCATTGACCTATTTGCATGTTCACACCTCGAAGCCCACAACCCTCACCTGCACGAGGAGCTTCCCAACTCACAGTCCCAAACCCCAAGAAGGCACTCACCTTTGAGCTCTCCCGCGATATGGGTTAGGATGTGCTCTTGCCGCTACCTAGGAAGGAGGAAGGTGAAGTGGGATAGGTGTCAGAGCTCGCGGTTGGACGCGACAAATGGGAGGATGGGAGAATGGTGTGGCCAGTGAGGGAGGGGATGGGAAGAGAAGAGGGCCCTCCCATCGTGGAGCTTGTCGCACTACTCTGCACCGTTTTCACTACATGGAACTCGTCGGTCCGAGTCCCTGATCTACCACTTGTTGGCACCGGGAGAAGCAAGGGCAATGGTATGAGCTTGTCGGCTTGCGCCTTCATGATCCACTCCGCCATACGCCATAGTGCGCCGAGGAGCTTGCGGGAGAAGGGAGAGGTACGGTAGCAGCAGAAAGGGGATCGAGGGGAGACCGGCCCTCGGTCCGTGAGATGATGGGGACTCGTCATCCGTGCCATCGCCAAGGCTCGCTTCGTTAATTTCATCAGGTTGGCCGCCTCAATCTTGAGAAATGAACTAGAGATGAAAAGTGGATGAGGAGAATGAAAAGGGTAATATGGTCCAAAAATTTTAGAGAAATATAGTAAAAGGGTAAAGAGTGGCATATTTTGAATAACAACTTCAAAACTGTAAAATAATAACATGGATCCAATTAACCCGGTATGGCCGCGGTACACTAGCGTGTACGGTGACCCCACCTGTCGGCCTCCATCGCTGACGCGAGTTCATCGACCTGGGTGTGTTCTGCATCTGCACATCCACAGCTCGGCCAATCTTTGGAAAATCATAATTTAGGGAATTTGGGCTTTTATGATGTGCAACATAAGTGAGCCCATCTTATTCTTCAGACTTACTGTTGGGCCACTCATCTTACCTTCACGTCCCATACTGCCATCTAACTAAAGGAATAAGTTCACTTGAAGTCCCTTAATTTGTCGCCGAGTCTTAAATTTGTCCCTGCACCACAATATTAGATAGAAGCATCTTTCAACTAAAAAACTACTGACTTCGATAGTTGATGGATGCAACATATCTGATATTGCGGTTTATGGATGAATTTTAGACTTGACGATGACTTAGAAACCTAAAGTGAACTTATTCCTAAACTAAATGGGCTTGCTTTGTAAGTTTTACTGAGATCTGGGTGTTGGGCTTCGTAAATGGCCAAATAGGCCTCGGTGTTGGCATGGTTTACAAAGGGTCTGTCTGGCACAGCTCCAACTCTAGCTCCACCCCTCCTGGAGTTGGAGCTCAGCCAAACAGTTTCAGCTCCATCAAAACTGGGAGTGGAGTTGGGTGGAGCTCTCTCACAAAATGAACTAGAGTTGTGGAGCTGGGTTTAGGCAGCTCCACAACTCCACTCCAGACCCAACTCCTGAAGCTAAATTTATGAGTTGGAGCTGTATCAAACAGACCCAAAGTATTGACAATCTGGCTAAGCGCCTATCAACGAAAAGAAACACAGATGCTTTGAAAGGTTTTTTTTTTAAAAAAAAAAGTTTTCAGGGGTCAATCCCAAGTGTCCTAATATTGCTACAGATTGATAGAGCTAACCACAAGGTCTAATGGAAACTTTGCTTCCGAATCAGAATAGGACATATACACTTTCCGATGTACTATAAACTTACTACAAAAGAAAAAAAGCGGTGAAAAAAAAAGGTACTACCTCCGTTTCATATTATAAGACTTTCTAACATTGTACATATTTATATATGTGTTACACACACACACACACACACACACACACACACACATATATATATATATATATATATATATATATATATATATATATATATATATATATATATATATATATATATATATAAAAGTATGTATGTATGTATGTATATATGTATAGATTCATTAATATCCATATGAATGTGGGTAATGCTAGAAAGTCTTATAATATGAAACGGAGGGAGTATGTGGTGAGCGCGTTTGCCCATCAGACTTTTCATTATAAATTGTGTGTCCATTCCACACCGCTTCAGATAGATTTTGGAGGGATTCGGTTCAGGTGCAGTAGCTAGTGTGATATTGTGACTGCAAGTTACACAGTCACACCAGCACCACTAGATTTGAAACATATGGCCCAGATGCATTAGAATACTGTAGCAAAGTACTGTAGCGTTGCTGCAAGAACTAGTGCTGATTCACTGTAGCAAACGATTTGGATCATTGGATCAAGAAATAGAGGGATCAGATTATGCGCAGTAGCAATAACAACTGCACTGGATCTCAATCCATTTTTGAGATATCTAGGAGTTTTGTGCATTTTCATTGTTGATCAAAATCCAAAGTCTTTTATTCTACTACCCTCGAGAAGGAGGAGATGTAAATTAGATCTATTGGATCAATAGACCCGATGAACTCCGAGAAAATCCATTGTTAAATGGCCTATAAAACGAAAATATGACATCGTGTACCGAGGGATATTAAGTTTAGAGTAACACCAATAAACTATTTTTTTCTCGATCCGCAACTAATGTTGATGGTATTGTTGTAATTCCATCTATGCCTTCCCAGACTACATTAGAAAATACTCGTTTTAGACCTTCTCAGAAGAATCTTTTTACCTGTGACCCTTAAATGGCGTATTAACTTTTTATTAGTTTGGTGTTAAAGCCTCTTTTAAATGGTGCATATGAGCCTTAGGATACATATCCAAACATTTTAGGTACATGCAAAAAAGTAGTTAGGTGTTGTATGCTTTAGAGCAAGTCTAATAGTATAGCTCACTACTAGCTCCAAATCATGTACAGCCAATATAGTAGCCAATTCATATAATAGTTGCTTACTATATACTATTAATGCATAGTCTCACCTGTAATATATACGTTATGTTTTTGAGTCCATGCTGTAGCTAGCTACAGATCTGTAGCCCGCTACTCTTCTCTCTCTTCTTTATCTCTTTAAAATATATTTATAGCTAGTTTATAGCTTGCTATTGTACCTGCTCTTACATGAGTTTTGGCATCTATCCTATGTGAATGGCTAGAATTACAGCCTACAGCCCCCAATGCTCCAAGAATTTGAGTCACAATTATTTTCCCTTTTCTCCTCTCCATGTGGTTTGTGCAAAGGCAACTATTTTGTCCTTCTTGTGGTGATGTTTGGACACGTGGCATACTTGAATAGAGGAATAAAGTTTATCAAGATATGGATGCTATGGTCCTCAAATAAAAGATAGGAATTCCTCACAAAAAACAGGAGAACAAAAATAGACATGGTTGGCTGACATTAAACCTCCAAATTGAAAAATACCGCCAAAAAAGAAGCCATGGATGAAGCAGATTATACTATCAAACTGCTCATACGCCTTTTGCACATTTGTTTCAGATGACACTTGTATCACCATTAAAGCAGTATTGACCAAACAAAAACAGGCCTTATTTAGATTCAATTTTTTTTTCCAAAAATGTCACATCGAATGTTTGAACACATGCACAGAGCATTAAATGTGGACGAAAAAAAACCAATTGCACAGTTTGCATGTAAATTACGAGACAAATCTTTTGAGCCTAATTACGTCATTATTTGACAATGTAATGCTACAGTAAATATTTACTAATGACGGATTAATTAGACTTAATAAATTCGTCTTGTAGTTTACAGGCGGAATCTATAATTTATTTTATTATTAGATTATATTTAATACTTTAAATATAAATATGTATCCGAATATACTTAAAAAAATTAGCCAAGAAACTAAACATGGCCACAGTTAAGCAGAGTATAGGAGTACAGTTAAGCAGAGTATAGGAGTAATCACAACATAGGAACAATGATTGATGGGATGGATCACAGAATATGTTCTACAAGGTCCCAAAAGAATGAAAATGAAATTCCTTTGATCACAAGTTCTAAACACATGGCAGGACATTAGTAAGCATCCTAATAGCTTAATGTATAGATCGCCACACAAAGATATTCTTTTTTAAAAAAGCATATGATGCACATACACTACAAGTCAAAACTATTTCGTAGAACAGTGGTCTACCACTAAACACTCAAAGCCCACCATCCTCCTCCACGTGCAGGTTTCAAACCGCTAACATGGGTGAGTGAATCTGTATTCAAATTCAAATAAATATATTTAAAATACCCCACACCGAACGAAGATTTACTCCCATTTACACCTAATTAGGTGGTGGTTGGATCCAGGAACTTAACTTTAGTCTCTATAGTTAGACACTAATTTAGAGTATTAAATATAGGCTACTTACAAAACTAATTACATAAATGAAAGCTAATTTACGAGACAATTTTTTTAAGCCTAATTAATCCATAATTAGGGAATATTTACTGTAGCATCACATAGGCTAATCATAGATTAATTAGGCTTAAATGATTCGTCTCGCGAATTAGTCCAAGATTATGGATGGGTTTTATTAATAGTCTACGTTTAATATTTATAATTAGTGTCCAAACATTCGATGTGATAGGGACTTAAAAGTTTTAGTCCCATCTAAACAGGGTCTTATTCTTTTAACGGTAGACGACACATCCATCATCAGCGAAACACCCATGATAACTCCGTCAATCATAATATATGCTGGATCAGTTTTTCATAAGTATTCATAGGTGTAGAGTGTGCGTGTGTATGTTTACATGGGTAAGTGTGCGTGTGTTGTGAACCTCTGTTTATACCGTGTTTTTTTTTAAAAAAAATGAAAATTCGAATGTGGCTTGTTGGTATTACAACCGCAGGTGAGTGAGACCACCCACCGGTTCGTGTCTCCGCACCGCCCATCCCTAAAACATCGCCACGTCCCCGCCACCCCCCTTCAATGTCCGTCGCCACCGGCGGCGGCGTCGTCCTCTCGCGTGCCCAATGCGCAAGCCCCACCACGCCGCGCAGCCTCCGCCGCCGCCGCCGCTCCCGCTCCCGCTCCCGCTCCCGCCGCGGAACTGCCCGCTCGCGACCGCGGTCCTGGCGCTCCTCTCCGTGCTCCTCGCCACGGCGCTGTGGGTCCTCCTCGTGCTGTCCCCGGCGTCCCACGCGAGGGGCCCAGCCGCGGGGCTGTCGGATGCGGCGGACGCGGAGGCGTTTGCGGTGGCGGGCGGAGGAGGCGGAGGCGGCGGGGAGGGCGCGGAGGCCCCGCTGTCGCTCGGCCACATCGTGTTCGGGATCGCGGGCTCCGCGCACCTCTGGCCGCGCCGCCGGGAGTACGTCCGGATGTGGTGGGACCCGGCCGCCATGCGCGGGCACGTGTGGCTCGACGCCGGGGCGCCCGCGGCGCCGGGGCCGAGCGCGTCCGGGGAGGGGTCCCTCCTCCCGCCGATCCGGGTGTCGGAGGACACGTCGCGGTTCCGGTACACGAACCCCACGGGCCACCCCTCGGGCCTCCGGATCGCGCGCATCGCCGCCGAGGCCGTGCGGCTCGTGGGCGGCGGCGGCGGGGGCGCGCGGTGGGTGGTGCTCGTGGACGACGACACCGTGGTGTCCGCGGACAACCTGGTGGCCGTGCTCGGGAAGTACGACTGGAGGGAGATGGTGTACGTCGGCGCGCCGTCGGAGAGCCACTCGGCGAACACCTACTTCAGCCACAGTATGGCGTTCGGGGGCGGCGGCGTCGCGCTCAGCCTCCCCCTCGCCACGGCGCTCGCGCGGACGCTCGACGTCTGCATCGAGAGGTACCCCAAGCTGTACGGAAGTGACGATCGCCTCCATGCTTGCATCACCGAGCTCGGAGTGCCCCTCTCCCGCGAGTACGGATTCCATCAGGTATGAGCTTATTTTTCAACATTTTGTGGCCATTCAACAGAAATGTGGGTTGGGTATTAACAGCGCTTAGATTATTGAGTGGTCTTATGAAATGTTATTCGCCTCAGCAATTGGAGCACTTATTCTGTTCTGCTTTGTACGATCTGCTGATAGACTAGTTACCAGTGACACAGTGACTTGAATTCAGGGACTATCCACTCTCTCCTGATCCCATGCATGAATTTAGTGCGAAATAGCATGCTGTCTATGCTCACGGAAATTCGGGGGATTGCTAATGAACTAGCCCAATTTAGAATTTGCGTTAGATCTTGGGAGGCATGCATATTGATCCACTCTTTGGAACCTTACCATTTCTGTGATGCTTGATTCATTATGGCAGAAAGGAAGTGTAGCCTGTCTGCTGTTGTGCCAACCTAGCTGGCTGTTATATGTTCAATCAGAATACATGAACAATAGTAGTAGGGTCTTGCCAGAGTGGTTATGTTAGATTGATAGTGAAAGGAAGTTTGGTAGTACTTGAATGTTACCTTTCTTTGGGCTCTTTTATGGCCAGCAGAAGTTTTTGCAAGAACTTGCCTGCTTGCTTTATAGTACTATTGTAATTTCTGTCAAATAGGTACCAGCATGCTGCATGTGTTTGAAAATATGATAATAAGTGATTAGCAAGTTCTTTTTTCTGTTTGCACATTAACAAGTCATATTTACTTTTTTTTATTAATCGTGTGTATGGAGAACTAAACTCTACTCTCTTAATCTTACTTTTGTCCCTTTGCATTGTAATCAGTGGGATATCAGAGGCAATGCCCATGGTATATTGGCTGCTCATCCAATTGCTCCTTTCATCAGTATCCACCATCTGGAGCTTGTCGATCCTATATACCCTGGTTTGAACTCTCTTGAGAGTTTGGAGCTCTTTACAAAGGCTATGAAAACAGAACCCATGAGCTTCTTGCAGCGCTCGATTTGTTATGATAAAAGGCAGAAGTATACATTTGCAGTCTCTTTGGGTTATGTTGTTCAAGTGTACCCCTATGTTCTTCTTCCTCGTGAATTGGAGCGATCCGAGCGGACTTACATTGCATATAATAGGATGAGTCAGCGAACTGAATTTGATTTTGACACTAAGGATATTCAGAAATCATTGTGCAAGAAACCTATATTATTTTTCTTGAAGGATGTTTGGAAGGATGGAAACATAACTAGGGGTTCTTATATACGTGCAAGTGTTCGGGATGACCTAAAAAACAAAGTGTTTTGCTTCAGGTCACCCCCTTTACCTGACATAGACGAGATTCAAGTTTCTGCATCCCCATTAAGCAAAAGATGGCATCTGGTTTGTTCTAATATTCCTAACAATATATCATATCTTGTTTCTACATTTACATTGGCTAATTGTCGTACCACTGATATAGGCACCAAGAAGGTTATGCAGTGCGCTTAAAGGATCTATTAATGGCACTTTGTTTATGTTTGTTCGGCAATGTGGACGGGGGACATTTGGCTCAGCTTCTGATTCTCTATAATTGATGGAAAGCAGAGGTGTATATTTTCTGTTCAGATGATACCTGGAAGATGTAGTTACCATCCTACATTCTTTGAATCGAGTGTTGTGGGGGCTCTTTTTCTGCCTCGAGCACTTGGCAGTTACCAACTGCTTGTTATACTTGGTAGTTGTTGAAGGTAGTTTCTGTATCTTCTGAATAGTGACATTAGAAAATAGTTTTAATCGTTGACCGTAACAATTGGGATTCATTTTTGATGATTTTTAAGGTGCTTCTAAAATTATGATGGTTTCTCAGGCTAGTACCATTCCCTATTTGACGATTGATGACCTGTAATATATCTAATGTAGGCCTTTTCAGGTTTTCATTCACTTTGTACTATATTTCATCAATTGGAAAAAAACCCAATCATGCATGGGCTATACTAAGTTTAAACATAGGTCTCAGACATAAATATGGACCTTACTTATTACATAAAAAATGGCATCATGCTTGTCCATACCTACTTTGAGTTGCAAATTAATTCCATGTGCTATGTATGCTTATCATGGTGTTGTCTTTTGATATGGATGCAAGAGGACCCTTCTAGGAGATCATAACCCCCCCTCCCCCCCCCCTATTTCATTAGTAGAAATGAGCATTACAAAGTTTCTGACCGTCAGTATTATGATTAATTGATCAAAATTTGATACTTTCTTCTTGTCATGTACCATTTTGTTATTAAAGGATATAGTTTCTAACTTTGTTTAGGCATCAGAGCAATCAAATCATTGCTAATATACAAAAAGGAATTCAGAAGGATATGCAGATATACAAACAGTTGAAAAATGACAGGGAAAAAAATATGCCTGCTGATTGGAGAGAGATTTTTTTTGTTGTTAAAAATAAGTTAGCACACAGGCGTACGATTCAAAATTAATTGTGGTCTAATGGCTGAGTCGATGAGCGAAAATACCTAGTTGCTTCGCACGATGAATCCAGTTTTCTACGTCTTGCATACATCTTATGAGAAAATAATCATTGACTGACATGGTTGTCAACTATTATGTTCCAGTTACGAGGATCTTTTTGCAGAAAGCTCTGAAAATTTAAGTTGCATTTGCCATTTTAGTTATTTGAAGGAAAAAAAACTGTTGTGTCTAGTCATAAACTGCCTTGAGCTTCATTTTTCCTAATTTTTATAAAGAATGTTGGAGTGGGATGCTTAGCTTCCGACAATCTTTTACAGTGTCAGTGTGCTGTGTGCGGTACTCTGTTTCGACAACCTTAATGCTTATTTAAGAGTAACTGGCTTACTGGCATATGCAGATTGATATTTTTCATTTCCCTTGCATTTTGTTTTCAGTATCCGGTGCTTTATCTGTAGCCTTTTTTCAACACTCTGTTCTCTACTTTTATGTCGCCACATGATGTGCTTTAATCAATGCTTTATGCTGTGGTCACAAATGTTCTAACTTTTGAGCAAAGTTTCAGTGCTGTATTCATTCACTTCAATAGCAAGATTAATCTATCATGGTACATTGCAAAAGTTGCCAGATTGACTTGGTGTTCTGAAATTCTTTTGTAGCAGTTTGTTAATAGAAGAATCTGCTGAGGAACAAAGCTGAAAAAGAAATACTGGTGGCTTTTTTTGTGGAATCTTCAAGCTACTCGTGGATGTACGATACTTGTGGACGGAGACTGGGTGAACGGAGTGTCACCCTTTGATTAGCTGCATTAGTCTGACTGAAACAACTTTCCGGCTTCATTCTTTGAGACCCGTGTACTAACCTTGATGGATTCTCAGTCGAAATGTGAAATCACTAAATCAGGTAAGAACAGCACTCCATTAGCATTGTATTGGAGGGCTGTAAACCTTTCCCGATACCTTGTTTAGAACTGTAAATCAGTGTGAACTGTGAAGCGCCATAACCATGAAAGAGATTCCATTCAATCTTTATTCCTTTCCAGTTCATTCTGAAAGCCGTTATCTGCTATGACGCCTAAATTTACTTTTGTGTCCATTTTAGTCCTACTCCTTTTGATATCTGCTTTATACTATCAAAGTCTTACCACAGCTAAACATGTTACCTTTATTGGGGCATGTCTAAAGTTGAGGATTTAAATGGGGCAAATCCGCAAATGCACATGTACCTTTTCCAGATCAATTACCTTAAGCTATATGCCATATCCTTTCTGTAGTATATCCTTGCTGTTCTCGTGTAAGTCGAATTTCTAACGTGTTTTTCCTTTTCAATTGACTTCCCTGATTTAGTCACGGTTCAATCCAGTCTTGCTGCTCATTATTCTACGAATCTCCCGTATGTACTTATGGTACACTGTTTGCTGCTAAATTAACATATGAACTGCTATGCTGTATCTGTTTGCTGCTAAAATAACATCTGGACTTATATGCTGTGTGGAAGTGATTCATCTTCCTTATCAAAAAGGAAAATAAAATGTGTATGTCTGTGATGTGCTCTCCACGGTCGGCAAGCAGATATTTAACCTCCTAGTTCTGTTCGTTGTTATTTTCAGTACATGATGTTTCCTGAGTATCAACAATATTTTTCCTCTTATTTTTTCCCCTGAGGTGGGACTATCAACCATATTTTACCCGTTGCTAATGGCTCAAGTGGTTGGTGGTTACTTGTCAAGGGCACAAAACATGGTACTTGACTACTCCTAATTCTCAAGTAACAGGTTTGTTCAGATACTGCATCGCTGCTTTTCTGTTTACTCTGCAAATTGCGATCCTCTTATTACAACTTGTGTAGCAACTCTTGTGCTGTGCAAAGGCAACACTACGTACTGCGCTAGTACATGGTCCAATCAGGGCCCAAGCCCTTGAGGCCCATCTTAGCCCATGTGGTTTGAGCTTTGCCATGTGCTCCCTGAGACAGTAATTAGAGTTAAGTTAGCACCCTAGTGGGCCTTTTTCTTAATTGTCCATGAGCTTTGGCATCCATTATCGAAATGATATGAACATAAGAGGATTTGAATAGGTGGGAAGGAGGTTAAACATCTTCCCACTACTTGATCATTGGCCCTATTCTTTCCTTGGTGCATTTGTAAAGTCCAAATATAAATTTTGATGTACTAACAACTATGCTTTCCAACTGTCAACTGTTAGGCGCTGACTTTTTGTAGTTTAAGACTGGAGATCAGATTCGGCGTATGGTCGCATGGTCTCGTGGGACATTTCATATCCTCGCAAAGCTAGCTTAAATGTTCCATCATGGGGTCATCTGTCAACGCATTTTGCATGTTGATTTTGATATTTCATATCTTCGCAAAGCTTATCGGACGTAGCTAAAATTTAAATTTTAAAACTTAAATTTAAAATTGATTTTGATGCTTTTTATCGTAGTTTATTTTCAACATTAGCTTTTAAGTCGCTAAAATATATATATGTAGAAGTTATATATAAAATTAGTTTATATTTGCTAATCAGCGTTACGCCTTATAATAAGTGGTATGTGAAAGGCAAAACTATCACACTGGGACTGAGGTGCTCTCCTCTAATATCAACTCTGTTAAGTTTCGAATTCCGTGAACCAAAATTCTTTTGTCAGCTTCCACCAAAAAATGTCCTCTTATTTCTTCTCTTGAATATAAGAGCCTGGTCTCTATAGGTGAAGTACAGCAGTTTTACCAACTACTATAGTCTGGTTGACACAGTATTTTTTTTTCCTGATCATGCATTTACGTGATATAGGCCCATATTAACTGTTACTCATTACTGTTGCGAGCAAAACCTAATTTCAGATCAAGGACCACACGAGTGTCTCTGACTTTCAGATTCAGTGTGAAAAATTCCTTGTATTTATTCCGTGGACTTGCAGGCTGTTACTTTGTCTTTTGGTGTTCATCCAGCCCATGTTTTGTCAACTCTCTACCTAACTTGCTTCCTCAATCTTTTCCTACCCTCTTTCTACTGTGTTTTGCCCCAGTAGGTAACCAATTCCAATGTAAAAAAGAGAAAAGGAGAAATGTCTTCAGTGGCGTGCAGCCAGGGTAGTATAGTTGTGTGGTTAAAATTTGGTTTGACATCTCTGGCTCTGACCAGCAACAGCATCATCTTTGCTCCTAATGAATTCTAATGAAATTGCTCAATTATTACCAGGATTTAAGAAAAACCTACCTGCATGCATGATCTAACCTCTAGAAAGGAGTCCTTTTGCCTTCTACTAATCCATTTCTAATTTTTCTTTCTGCGAAATGCGATCCATCATTCCATCTCATCGATCCCAACATTTTGCAACCGATATACAAAACAGTACAGTGGGAATTGTGGGAAAGGTGAGACCAACTGTGCAGTAAGGCGAGCAGTTCGGTTGCACGCTATCTGAAACATGTTTTGTGTGAAGGCTAGGCGGTTGGAACTAACATCATATCGCTGGCAGGCAGCGTGCGTGCGTGTGTGTGAGGATGAACAAAGAGACGATGCGTGCCGCAAAGGAAAAGCGCATGCAAATTGCCTTCGTTTTCGCGTCATCCCGCCCGGTGCATGGCTGGCACGCGCCGCCGTAAGCAAAGCTACGCCGAGCATGGGAGTCGCCGAGCTGCGGTGGCACGTACGTGGACCTATTCCAAACAACTTCACCGTTTTGCTCTTCAGCTTATCAGCCGTAATTAAAATTTAAAATTATCAGACTTAATTTAAGGGTTGATTTTCAATTTTTTTCGTCGTTGTTTATTTTTAGTTTAGAGCTTTTAAATCACTAAAAACATATATAAAACGCTTTACTTATACTATATATAATAAACCTTACGGTTTAAAATCTGCTGTAGGCGAAACTATGGGAATGAAAAATGTTTCTCAATAACTAAACCAGCCACTTGTCACTTTGATCATTCGTTCACAGATCACAGGATAAGTTGACTAAGTTCAGAAAACCGACTGCAAAATTTCTCCCATGGCACGAGCTCTCTATCTCTCTGCCCCCAATTTGGCGTAGAAAAGAGGTCAAAATTACGTAGAAAGCTCTTTCTCTGTTTCTCATAAGTGAGCTTTGAGCTTAACGTCGAAACGTCCAAGTGTTCAACTCTCCAAGACCTCGATGATGCTCTCTGTTAAGAGGCCAAAATTACACGTCAGATGAGCTGCCTAGTGTGGCCGTGTCCGTCTGCAACTCTGTTTGCTTCTCCCATTGGGTAAAAACCCAATTATTGATCTTGTGTGCTCAACTGCTCATCAGAAGGTGGCATCTGACTATTTGTACCTTCTGCAAATTCATCCACTTCTGCTGCCCTTTTCACATCTCCTAACTAATTGCCGTGTACTTACACGCTGATGCCATTTATTTCCTCAGCTTCATCCACCTCTCACTGACCCATTACGTACATCAATCATCAGATCACACAGAGATACTCCTATACTCCTCCAGAATGTCAGTGTGCTACAGTACGTGTAATTTCAGAAACACGGATTCAGCAGAGTGGTTTAGCCAATAATTGTGCAGAGTTTGCTTGCGTGTAATACAAACCAATCCAAAATGTGCATCAAAAGCTTGGAGTTAAAACTACCTACCCATCTTCACCTAATCCCCATCCTTATTTTACGAGTCCTTCTGTACTACTACCACTTAATTACCACGAGTCATTTTATTCGTTATCAGTAGCAATCACCAACATCTCATCCGCTGTTCATCTTTGACTCCTGAAAGCTGAAAAAACATACTCCGTACAGTACTCTACTAGTTTTTTCTAAAAAAAAAAAACCATATACTCGCACTGGAAGCAGTAAATTGACTGGAATTCCTCACTCCAGATTACGTGAAGAACCGAGATATTTCACGCAGTGGATTTCTCCCGGTACTGATCCTATCTCTGAACCGTACTACTGCAAAGCCTGCAGAGCCGTGTCTGAATTCTGACACTGACGAGGTTGCAGATATCTGAATTTTTTTTTTGGGTGCTGAAAGCTGCGGCCACTACGGACACTGATGGTTACGTGAGGCCGCCGGCGCCGAAGCTGAATATATGCAGATGTGGCCGTGCCCTTACTAATGGCACTTTAATAACCAGCCGCACTGTTAGAAAGAAGCAAGCAGGACAGTGCTGGCTCTAACTCTTAACTAACTGAATTAACTTCACATGTGACTTTGCACTACCGTATCTTATCTTCCATGAAAGTTTTTGCAAGTGTAGTTTCCAGTGCTGGACGATTTAAGCCTTTCAGAAGATCAGATGCTGCATGTCAAATATGGTAACATGGTGTCCATCTCCGTACATTTTTCTCATGCAGAAAAAAAGAATGAAAAGAAGAATGAAAGAAAGGAACATTGCGTGCATAGGGATCAAACATTGCTGCATGCTGAGATGAGATGGATCCTGTAGATGTAGCTAGCAATGGACAGGTAAAATTTGGCCATCACAGTGTTTGATGCTTGATCTGATCTGATCTGATCCGATCTGCTTCTCCAGAATGCACCAGCCGTTTGCATGGACGCGTCTCTGTAACCAGGTGCCAGCCAAGTCACTACTGTCAAGAGTCAGCATCTGTAATTCTCCTCTTCTCTGATCTGTCCCTCCCTGTGGCCTGCGTGCGTCTCTCCATCCCCTTCATCACCTCTCTGTCTCGCCTCCACGACCCCGTTCTTTTCGGCTACTTCACAGTTATTGTTACGGGTTACTCATTTCACGTCTCTAAAAACTCATCTTCTAAAAAAATAGAGAACATTTTTAATTGTTTATATCATATCGCTTGTTATAAGTTATCCGCTTACTATATTTAATTTATATTTATAATTGTATAGTTAATCTGCTATAATAATTTGGTCAATAATCTGTTGTAGTTTTGGTCGTGAAAACGGGAGAAATCGCAACTTATAATTGTATATAGATAATTCACTATTGGGACGCAGGCTATTCATCTAATTTCTCTAAAAATTCCTTTTTTTCTAAAAGAAAAGAATAATCCTTTTACTGCACAACATCACTTATCCTAAGTTATCAGTTATTAAAATATTT